AAAAAACAAATATACGCGATTTAAATCCGGAAAAATAGTTTCATTTCCTAATATATTTTTGTTGACGTGGAATAACACCAAGATTATTTATATATTTTTTAAATAACTTACGTAGTTACCTGTTTATTTCACTCTCTTCTTCTTCTTTCTTTTTATTACCTCGTGGATAGCGTTTGAGCCAACAACAATAATTTACATTTCTATTTTTTTGGTACTAAAATGAGGAAGTTGTTGGGAGAAATTATATTGATCCTTTGTTTGGTAATTTGCGAAGTTCAGTCACTCTAATGCTGTGTTACATGTGTGGTGATTGCGTTCCACTATTTGTTTTTTACACCTGTGATAATTAGGTAACTTCACTAAGAGCCAAAAACATTTAGAATAAGACCAATGAGGTTTGGTAAGGAACGGAAAGGGAGGCGAGGTAATACTAATAATAATATAATTTAAATTAAATTCTACTTTGCATTATTTCGCCATGAATAAGATAGAATGTCTAAAAGACCATCATATCCTGGCTTAAGAATAAAACTTAATATTATGGTGATACAGAATGATTACAAGAAATTATTTCATAGTTTTATTTATACTTATAACTGATAACTAATTGTTTTGTTATTAAATGAATATTGCAAATCTGTTTATAAGCTTTTAAATACAGTTACCTACTCATTTACTGAGTTTGGCATCACAACTACGCTATTATGTTCTAAGATTTAATTGTATAGCTTTATGAACCTAACATAATAATTAAGGTTCCTTTTTTATTGTTTATTTTTATATTAGCATCGTTTGCTTTTTATTTGTTTTACTTTTTTTTGTATAAAAAATAAGTGCGCACTTGAACTCCATCTCTTACCACCAAAATAGTACCAGTCTCATAATACCAAAATCAAAACCAAATAGAAGGGTTCCTTTTCTATTTATAAAGGAACAGTCATAAACTATTCATGTTAAATTTTGTCACGTTTCCTTACAAACCTGAGTGAGTCATAATCGTAAAATGGCTGGATTGGTTTACGGTAGGGACCACCATTGGAATACTAAATATAATATTGTTATGAGCATTTAATATGACTAATATCGCACGCTTTGTTCTCATTGGTAAATCTCTTTCACATGAATACGGAAGAAAGCGTTATTATTCTAAGGAAGAAAGATTATTGCCTCGAAAATATAGCTTCTCCTTATAAATATCTAATGCGACTCGTACAAAATAATTTGTAACTTTTTCATTGAAAATAAAAGTGACCTCAAAAGTTTAGTTTAGCTTAGTCGGGTTTTTTCGATTTCCATGGGAACCTCTCATCAGATTCTGACTTCTTGGTGACAATGGGACTGTTACGGACTCGTTTGCATATTTCATATTTTCTTTTTTTTGGTACTGTTTTTCCATTGGAAAAGGCAAAGGCACTAATGCACCATACAGTCAAGACTGAGAGTAAAATCTTTCTTGTATTCCATTACAAGAATTACATGTATATTCTGGTTGTTATGGTGACAGTGACTTGTTGATTAAATGTATTGTGTCAAGTGAAAAGTCGACTTTTATTTTGCGGAAAATAATTATTAAGTTGTGATAGTATACCCTTCACCTCGAGAGTAGGTATACCCTTTCAAACAAAAGAAGAATTTTCAAAATCGGTGCAAAATTGATGGAGAAATAGGCGAATACACGGACATGCCTATAAAATTTGAGGATTTCCTTAGATTTTCATGTGATCCCCTCATCAGATTCTGACTTGGTGATAATGGGACCACCACGAGAGTGCACCCTTTCAAACAAAAAAAGAATTTTCAAAATCGATCTACAACTGCCGAATATATCTGAAAACATACATCCAGCCGAACATATAACCTCCTCCTTTTTGAAGTCGGTTAAAAATCGTAAATACTTTTTATGATAATAATCTCAGTACAGAGTACTTAAAATACCGACCTCAAAAGTACGTGGAATTACGTCTATTTGCTAAGTTTTATTGAAATATCCCCTAGTTCGCCACTATACAGGACTTGACACTGGAGATAATAAAAATATGTTCTCACTACGACACTACTCAAAGTATATTGAGAGAAAAACGCCTTGAATTGGAGAAATAGCAAAATCAACTATTAAAGTAATTGCTTGTAAATTAAAGTTAGGCGCTATTTATAAAAATGAATCTTCATGCGTGAACAGCCACCCTTCGAGGTGGATGATTTTCTTCAAAATGAAATGGGACCACTATGGAAGTACCCCCTTTCCAACAAAAAAAGAATCATGAAAATCGGTTCACAAATACCGGAGTTATCGCGTAACATACATGCAAAAAAAGAAAAAGAAAGAACGTACAGTCGAATTGAGAACCTCCTCCTTTTTTGAAGTCGGTTAAAAAATTAATAAAATTTGTCAGTAACTTTCTATATCTTACCCTCAATAACAAAGTAACGTAATTAAAAAATGATTATTTTTTTGAAAACTGACATAATCACAACACGACACGACACGACAAAATTCTAGTTATATTTCGTAATTTATTGATTAGTTTAGCAAATATGTTATTTTTGAATTTTGTCACATATTATTATTATTATTGAGGTTGCTATATGAGGTGACGTAAGCAGTATCAGCCAAATAATATATGCGCAAAAATAAATATTCATTTATCAAAGAAAAACATTTTTATTTATTTCATAATAAAATACCAGTCAGGATAAGGGCAGAACTAAGATAATAGTAGAGATTGTAGGTGAACTATTCCTCAATAACATTCTCGTATTTTTTTATATGACGCCCTCTTTTAAAAGTGCATAGAACTATTTTCTGAGGTCGACGCTGTAGAAGTCAGTGTTGCACTTTTTGTACGTAGTTCTATTCGTCTGTGGTAGATGGCGGTATACGAGATTCATCAGTTCGTCACCAGACAGCTCTACCATCGCTACAAACTCCGAAACGAGCTTTTTGAACCTCCAATATAGAGCAAAAACAAGTTTTGGTTCGACGCCTTCAGAAATTTGTTGTACATTGCTAAGTTAGTATCCATAGTTGGATCACTCACATACCAGTCAGTAGCGATGTAAAACTCAAGTTGGTATGAATCCTGAATGAGTGAGGGCTTGTGTTAGTGTGGCGAGGTTAGAGAGTTGTCTGCGGGACCGGCAGCCGCCGGCAGTAGAGACGTGTTGGCCGTAGTGACAGGTGGCATTGATGCCCCCGCCAAGTTACACGCGCTCGCGAATTCACCCCATTGTTTATTAACACTTGTTGTGCTCTCTTTCCGTGATAAGTTTTATTAACGTAACACTTTTACCAAAGTTTCAGATAGGATGTGGACTTAAAAGTGTCGTGAAGTGTTCGGTGCGAATACCGTCCCGTGCGGTCATGTCGTTAAGTACAATTTAAGTGCAAAAATTGTCTTACTTACTGACGACGTACTAACTAAGAACCCGCATGGATTTCGTTGGTGATAAATAAAACTCAGTTTTATTCTTCAAGTTACCTGTAAGCAGTCCAAATGGCTCTCACAATAATATTATTTTTTTGTGACCCGCCCGAGAATACGAAGTTATAGATAACGGGTTAATTATTATAATTAGTGTTGTGTGAATCGGAGCGAGATTGTTACCTGGAAATCTCGCGTTTCTTTTTCTTATAAGTTCATTAATAATATGTCGTTTTTAATTTACACAAGAGCTCAACTCTAGGGTATTACTTACATTGAGGACAAGTAAATTTTGTTTGATTATGGTAGTATCAGAGGCTCAGAAGGTAGAGCAGTGGTTCGATGCGCGCGAACGCTGGCGCTGGAGTTGAATGGCCGCGCGTCGTGCATCCAATCGCACTCACCTCACCTTGGCAATCTAATTCAATGTTTACGGAACTTAAGTTATCCAATAGACTAAAAGAACCTGTTCTTTTATATACCCGAGATCTCTTATTCTTACTAAAGCGAAAATGAAACGTCTGCAATTTCATTAGATTAATAGCAGTTTCAAAACTTTGCTAGCATGTACATCAACCGAAATGTAGTGCTGTCCGAATACTAATCTTGTGTACCTAGTATTAACGAGTTCTCTCTGCATACTAGATACTTGATTGTCTTAACAAGTTTCCAGATCTAGTTGATTATTTATTTGAAGTTGAAATGTTCCCATTTAATTAGCAACCACAACAAACTCTCCGTATATACGATACGTAAATACGATTGGCGCCTGTGCATGGTATATCTGTGTCAATAAAATGTAAGAGCCTTTTCGTTTGTAGGTCTCCCGCTTTCCGTAGTCTCCCAAGAGACTGCCATATTTTTTGCTCCCAAACTGACGTTGTCAGTGATAACAAAGTCAAACTCATTTATTAGCCGCTCTTTTTCATAAACTACTTCGTTGAAACCGACATTGTCCTCCTTTATTTTTGAAAATCATTCGACTCATCATCGTCTGAAAGATATATTAGATAGATTTTGAGAAATGTCTCAAGTCGCGTTAGATATTTTTTGCTTGCAAAGAAGTCGCCTTGTATGATTCGGATTGGATCTGTATCTATGTTCATCATGATACGAAAATGACTCCAAGATAACATATACGATATTGGTGCCATGAAACGGTTTTTCATTAATAAGATGTGGATAATGGATGTGATATACGTATCTATATGGTTTTTATTTTTATTATGTACGAAGAATGTGCAAAATTTAATTCTTTTGTTATAATACGTATTTTTTATTTTTTATGAATAGGGTATTGGTTATCATAGTGGAGGAAACAATTATCAATTATTATAATCTCAGTACAGAGTACTAAAAAAACCGACCTCAAAAGTACGTGAAATTACGTCTATTTGCTAAGTTTTATTGAAATATCCCCTAGTTCGATCTATCTAGATCTCTTTTATTGAAATATCCCCTAGCTCTATCCACTATACAGGACTTGACACTGGACATAATAAAATCGGTTCTCACTACTCAAAGTATATTGAGAGAAAAACGCCTTGAATTGGAGAAATAGCAAAATCAACCATTAAAATAATTACTCCTTAAGTAAAATCTAGGAGCTATTTATAAAAATGAATCTTCTTGCGTGAACAGCCACCTTTAGAGATGGATGATTTTATTCAAAATGAAATGGGACCACTATGGAAGTACCCACTTTCCAACAAAAAAAGAATCATGAAAATCGGTTCACAAATACCGGAGTTATCGCGCAACATACGTACAAAAAAAACATACAGTCGAATTGAGTACCTACTCCTTTGTTAAAGTCGGTTAAAGAAATTTAAAGAATTCACTAAATAGAATAAATAAAATATTGTTATTTTCGTTGGAAATAAAACCTTACTTTACCTAAGTAGGATTACTTATGATACCTGGAATTCTTTACCATAGTTTAATATATTAACATTCAATTATTTCAGAAATTATGAATCATGCCTATTGACATATTTTCCTTAGATCACCAGGCATATCTAAATCTAGTCGGCTTATTGTGAACTGATGGATAAACCTTTATTGAATGTGCCACATCTTAAATCACAGTGAAAGTTGGGAGCGATACGACCACCTTCATCGAGAGGGTCAAGTGGCCTCTTGTCCCCAATAGAAATTTGTAAATCGCGGTCCACTCGGAAGGCACCCTCTTCAAATCTTTCTTTGCTTCTTTTGTCCTCCGATTCAAACACAAAGATATCTTCAGCATCTTCATTTCGACATTCAATACAATAAGTCCCTTAAAATTTTAAGAGCCTAAAAATCAATGCGCATATTTCAGCGCCTTGTGAAAGCAGAAAATTCATTGAAATTCAGTCAACGTGGAATCGAAATTAATAGAAGTATAAAAAGATGTGTAGGTAGATAAGTTTTATGCTAAATATTTGTATTCAATGAGTTGATTATGAATTCCTTTGAGTCACATACTTTGTTGTACTTTCTAATAAGAATATAAATAGTAAGTAATATTTCAACTGTAATTTTTGTGTTTAAGCCTACATTATAAGCTAATTTAGTATTCTGGTATGTATCCACGTAATACAGTATCGTGTGACGGTCTGGTGGACATGTCGGAATCTGTATGCGCGCTGTATCATCAGTCCAGTATGAATATTCGAGGACACGCGGCGCGGAGCCCGAGTACAATAGCGCCTTTGTTACACAATGCCCATTTCCGATTACCAGATTGAATCGTATCCGTCAAAGCGCTCTGCCGTCCCAATAATCGTCTATATGGAATGGGTGACATTTTTGGAGTAAAGCCATTGTCATATTCGAACGCTCCGGGAGATGGGAACTAGTGTATAAAAGTTTGCAGCGGTACTCCATTCTGTCATAGATGTGTGAAAGAAGTGTAGAATATTCAGTTGTATGCTTTAAATCACAGTAACTTCCATGTTTCACATTTCTCTGAGAAGGCAGACAGTAGCAATCTGTAAGCTTATGGTATTGAAGAAGTTTGTATGGCACAGCTTTGCGGTTAGAAACTTTCAATAGGAATCGATGTAATACAACTGAAACAACTCACGTTGTAGCGTGGTGTTCCACCCTATACTCCAGGGGTTCTCAAAGTTTAGTTGTTATTTAATTTAACCTCTCGTTATGCGGGCGGCTGCGTAGCGCACAGTCGACGGAATGACGCCTATCGTTCGCTCATTGTAGCGGAAATTTAGACGAATTTGCAGCGATCTCGATTCACTAAGGAGCGTTTTAGTGCGTAAGGTACGCCGATTTTAATTCACAAAGCGAGTGCGGTGAGCACAAAATAAAGTTTTGGAGGGGGTTCTTCGTTAGTTGCTCGCTCACAAGTGTACGCGCGCCTGAATGTGATGAATATGTTAATCGCTAAAGTCGCTTTAAATGCTTAGAGACTTCTAATCGTCAAGGACGACAAACGGGAAAATATCTAAAAGTAAATAATGTATTACAATGTACGAGTAACATGAACCTTATTAAGTACAGTTGAAACATTTGAAGTTTATTTATTTATTAGGTGTACAAAACAGTTTACATACACTCCTTAAGAAAAGCCTAAACATTACAGCTAGTTCTAGTCTAGAATATAAACATGACAGCAGGACCAATCACGAGTGAACAATTTAATATATAATAATTAAAACGTACTTAGGCATAATAAAAGTGTAACCTTAAATAAAATAGAATTACTATGGCTATAACTATGAAAAAAGAGAGAAATTGTGGTGCTTGTAGATTCGATTGCGAAATCTTTTAATATTACAATCAAATATATCCATCTTTAGTTCATCGCTAGGATCAGCCACAATTAAAGCCCTATTTTAGATGCAGTCTTGGTGTAATAAGGCCACACTGGAGGTTCATTGGAGGTATCGATGTGATATAAGCGCTTTTGATATATATATTTGGTATATTTGATATATATGTCGCTATATTATTCCAAGGGCACAAAGTATATATAAAAGCTTCAAATCAGAACCAAATTGTCAGTAATCCATTTCATGCTAAACTACACTTATTAACATTTCAATATTGGAAGAAAGATCGAGATGGTGCCAAAAGAAATAATATAGATATAAATTGAAGCTATTCACAGAAACTAAACAGATGCAAAGATAGCTAATATTTCAATTGAGATTACAGTTTACACGACTGAATATCAAAAGTCCGTAGAATAACTTTCATAAAGATAGAGGTGTCCTGACTTCCCATGCACGGCCTTATTATCTAAATGCGCTCGACGTGAGGGGGCATTATTAAAATCCTATTTAATGGCCCCGAACTCGGAGCCCGACTAAGCGTCGCTGTGATCCTTATGTGATAAGTTCAAGTTTTTAATTAAATCTGAAATTTAACGCGCTAAAAGTAACTTTAGTTCTTTCCACATCCTATGGTTTCTGAGATTATGCAAGGAATATGAAAGTGGTGCACAATATGATGTTCCCGGAGTATCTGTAGTGTATGTTTTATTTTCTATTGTCAAATGCGTTACCAATATGTTATTAATAATATAATTACCTAAGTGGCCGATCGGTTACCATGCCGTACTGCCACTCAGAGGTCCTAGGTTCGATTCCCGGGCCGGGAGAAATATTTATATGGCCTACGTTTATTTCTCTCGTGAGTTTGGGTGTAATTCGTGGTTGTCTATGTTTGTGTCCATGGCACCCGCGACATAGGGGTTCCCTACTGCGTTATGTTGACTATGTGCGTTATTATTAATTACTAATATAGTAACATAGTAACGTAGTAGTATTAAAGACAAAAGAGTATGCTTGAATAAGCCATTGACCCATAGGTTATGCAATAAGACAACAATAGCGTCTTCGGATCGGTTCGACTAACTCAAAAATAATAATGACAGTATAATTACTAAGCTCCCTGCTCTATAATAAACAATATCACGAGCTAGCTTTTATTCCCATGCGAGTCGAAAAATGTTAAACGGTGGGCGGGTTCCGGAGTAGAGGTGTACAGAGGTGAGTCTTCATATGGGTAGTCCACTGATTACTGCGGCCCGGCGGCCTACAGCGCCCGCAGGCTA